TCAACATAAATAAATAAATACATAAACATTAAAAAAAATAAAGTGACTAGGAAGGGCACATCAGGAATGAACACCACCAGCTTTTGGCTTTGAAGTTAGGGAAATACCTTTCTTCAGACAAAAGATAGAGCCGGCCAGAACCACCCCGTGTGGCACCTGACAGCTTTACTTAAAGAGCATTTAACGCCCCTCGTGACAAGCACAGGAGTCCTGCTCAGGACCTCTAGGTAAATATGTCTGTCTACCTGCCTCCTTGCGGGCGTTTGCTCTTGCTTGGGCCCTCCGGGTTCCCTCTCGGAACGTTGGCCACCATAGCTGGCGTGACCCCAGGAGCGCCTTGGCAGGCTCCCTGAAGGAGGGCCCGGTGAGTCCCAGGCTAACGGGGCGTCTCTGGATCCGGGCCCTGCAGGAGCTCAAGCAGGAGTGTGGCCGCCTTCCGCTCTGCTTTCCCCACCTGTCAACCGGGGAGCGGATACAAGCCGCATCGTGGAGATGCCGAAAGGACTTGATTGCTAAGGCCGAACACCAGCCCTACACGCGCGAAACCTAAATACCCCTTTGCCAACCACGGCCTCTTGACGAGGAGATGCGGGATTCCTCCGAACGGTTGTGGCACCGGTCAATTGGCAGCTGGCTGAATAAAGTGAAAAGCACCATCTCTGTAGGACATCTCATTTTAGGAGGAACCCGTGATTCCCTTTTGGAGAAAAGTGGATTGAAATCCAGCGGCCCGTGCTCCTTGACATGTTTGGGAGCTGGCTGGAGGGACGGGTGCCGGACGTTCCCCCTCTTCTGTCTCTCCGGGCGGTACCCCAGATGACAGGTTGTGCTTGCCCCGGCGGAGGCAGCCCCAGGTGCGTTGGTGGGTGTCCCGGGGAACGGGGTGAGGACCGCACGGCTGTGTCCACCCCATGGGACAGAGCAGGAACTCGCACCTGCTCCTCGCAAGAGAGGTGGCCCCCGAGTCGGCTTGCGGCCTCAGTGACCGGCAGCGTGCAGCCGAGTCGTGAGCAAATCACCGCTGGTGACCGGGGGACCCCAAGGACAGAGCAGCCTGCTGCGGGAAACTGGGCCTGTCACAGTCACACTCTGGGGACCACGAGGCACTAAGGCAAGGCAATGGTTTGTGCTTCTGTGGGAGGTTTTTGAGGCCGTTTTCCTTCGTGTACTGCATCTCCTCAGACACACCTACTCACGGAGAGAGGCGCACAGGTCTGCGGGCACCCCCACAGCCAGCCACACCCCCCCCAGAAACTTGCCTGCAACCCCCCCACAAACATCCCCGAAAGCAGGTGAAGACTCTTTGCAAGCTCACCCACAAAGGCCCCTACGTGCTCCCGAATGGAATACCCTCCATACCCACAGCCACCCCCATAGACGCCGCATAGATGCTCTGCGGTCACGCCCCCCCACCCCCCCCCCCCCCACTGCCACCACATCGACGCTTTTACTAACACCCCCGACGTCCTCCACGAACATCTCAAAACATACCCTCCAAACTTTTGCAGACACCCCTCCACCTATCTTCCACACGTTTCCTTTGACGACACTCGCCCAAATGCATCTAATTTCACCCCACAGTCTCCCGGCACAGACACTCGCAGATAGCCCTGCAAAACAGCACGCGTTACCCTCTGACACCCACACAGGCACAGCCCGGTCACCCCCAAACACCATCTGCAGATTCAGAGGGACGGCACACAGTCGTTACCCCACATCAATCCCCTGTGCAGTCACACACAAGGATCCTATGCACACACACAGATCTTGTACGGACACACACACACACAGTCGCCCTGCACAGGTCCTTGTGCGTGCACGGAGCTGGACACAGGCCAGGCATGCAAAGAGGTCCACCCTCTCCCAGCACAGGCAACGCCACCCCAGCAGACAGACACACAGACACCTTAGCTTCGCTTCTTCAGTTTGTTATTTCGGACGGTCTTCTAGCTAGAGCCGTGTAAATCAAAGGTCTATATTGCAAACAACTGGGAATATGGTGCAGTAGTCTCTGGTCGCGGTGGGTGGTGGTGGGGGGGGGTTGGAACAGAACAGCGATCAAACGAGATCACGTGGTACGTTTCTCCATCGCCCTGGCCGGATGGTGAGAAAGCCAGGGAGGGGATCAGACATCTCGTCATGCCCATGAAGGGTGCCGACCGAGCACAGCTGGAGGACCGAGGTGTGGTTTCTGGGACATGCCGGGTTCATGTGTCTCCCTATAGCCTTGTCAGGAACATAAAGTCTGCTCTGACTCCTTTCATGCAGGAGGTTGTTGATCTCCTCTAGGAGACAGTTCCCTGCCCTGCCGCGGCTGGTTTTCCTTACAATACAAAAGAAAAAAAAGAGGTAATGCTCCAAAAAGTCCTCAAATTCTCTTGGTGCTTCTAAAGAGGGTTATAAGAGTATGGTGGCTGTTAGAAGGAGGAGGGGCAAGACACGAAGATCACAAAGAAAACCAGGAGGACGGATAAAGGGATTCGAATGCAAGAAATAGCCCAGACCAGCTGGTGGCCATCTGGGAGCTATGAAGAAAGGGAAGAACAAAGTTGTTGAGTTTCTAGCAAGTGGATACAGTTTTATCATGAGACGAGGTTACTGCTTTGAGGAACTGGAGAGAACCCGAGCCTTGCCAGCCATTAAAAACAACAACAACAACAACAACAAACAAAAAAACCCCAATCTAATGGTTTCCCTGAGGATTGGATTACAGTGAGTTTGCTCCTGTCTCAAAGAAACTAGTTAAGGGCATGATCATTTCCAGGAAAGTTAGAGGGCGTGTGAGGGTGTAGGGAAATCGAGACTTAGTCTCTGGATGTCAGGGTGAAAATGGACACTGGGGAAATGGGAAAGATACTTGATTGTGCCTTATACAGAGGTTGTCTTTAAAGCCTCAGGTAAGACCATGGGGAAGGCCACTGGCTATAGGGTGAGAAGTAAGTTATTACAATCGGTTATTTTCATTTTGTTAAACTTTGAGGGTAAATTGTATGTGTTTGCATTGGGGCTGTCCACAGAGGAGAGAAAACGTAAAACCAGGAAGTACGCCGTAATATGTAGAGAGAGTATGTATCCACTCACCTGCCCCACAGGGAACTGAAGGATGGCTCACCAAAAGTTAGCGTCTCTTCTCTCTTCCCGCTGCCTCCAGGAATGGGGCCACTATCTCCAGGTGCCCTCTCCAGGCCAGACATCCCAGCCACTCAGCTCCACATCCAAATAATTGGTCACCTTAGTGACCAATTCTCTCTCTTTAGTAATTCTAACCTGTGCCCTCCTTTCTCTCCCCTCAGTCGCTTCCCGCCTCCCACCTATCATTACCATCACGGCAACAAATTCCTCCCCAGCCTCCAGTATCAAATCCCTGCAGATCATTTTCCAAATTTTTCTTGGGTATTTGTTTGTTTGTTTGTTTGTGGGGTTTGGTTTTTTTGTTTGTTTGTTTGTTTGTTTGTTTGTTTTTTGTTTTGGTAAAACATCAAATCTATTCTTCCGCACATCCAATGAGCATTTATTGAGTATCTACTATGTGCCAGTCTTTTCTCCTAGTTGCCTGGGACACAACAATGAACCCAACAAAGAGGTCTTTATTTAGTCAGAATCTAGTGGAAGAAGAAAAACAGTAAACATAATAAATTATATGATATCTTTGAAGGTGATAAGTGCTGTGGAAAGAGTAAAAACAGAGCAGGGCACAAGGTATTGACAGGGTAGAGTGTGTGTGTGGGTAGGGGTTAAAGTAGGGTAGCCTACTACTCAATAGCCTACTATTGAGCCAATAGTCCTCATTGGAAGGTTGGTATTTGCTCAAAGGAGGTGAGGGAGTTAGCAGCAATGATATTGGCGAGGAAGAATGTTCCTTGAAGACAGGACACCCAGAGGAGTGCCCTAAAGTAGCATAGCAAGTGTGCTGGTGTGGTTTGAATAGGTGCAGAGATTGGGAGGCATCAGGTCGGAATGGAGAGAAGTCACATGGGGCCTCATAGCAGGATTGAGCTGTTGTGGGGTTTTAAGCAGTGGGAGACATGCTCTGACTTCTACGTTGAAGTGATGTTCTAGTTCATAGTTCACTATGTTCTAGTTCATAGTTCACTATGTTCTAGTGATGATGGTGACTCAGACCATGGGGAAGCAGAGGAGACAAGTTGGTGATGTCTCTATTCTGCAGAAAAGCCTTCAATGACTTCCCTTAGCCTTCAGATAAAATCCGAGCTCTTCAGTATGGCCCACAAAACACGTCAGGATTGGGGCCCTGCTTATTTGTTCAGATTCATCTCTTCCTGGTGTTTTCACCCCCACCCCACCCCCCGAAATGGCCCCCATATTCTAAAGCAGGTGGGCTTTTAACAAGTCTCCTCTTTTCTCATGGTCCCATGAGACTGTGTAGGTGACTCCCTCGGCCTTCACTAAGCCTCTTATCCTCAGGAAGCCTTTCCTCCCCATACCATGCATCCCAAAGCAGACCATACATACTTCAGTGGTTGGGATCATAGTTCTGAGACAGAAAGTTCTATCCACAATCTGTCTCTCTCACTACATTGGGAACTCCTAAACGGTAGGAATAGAGCTCTTATTTCTGAGTCCTTAGTAGATATTAAATGGCTGGATGGGTGATGGATAGATGTTGGATGGGTGGATGGATGGATGGATGGATGGTTGGTTGCTGGATCTTCATCAGATCTTTAATTCAAGGGATTTTATTTTTAGTTTAAAATTAGTTAATCATTAGAAAATGCTTAAAAATAACTATAAGACATTAACGTCTTCATTGTTGAAGCGATGGTTGAAGAAGCGTGCTCGGGTAACCACTCGTGAGCACGTGTACTCATCAACTGCACATGACAACTGTTTTGCTCGAGAGTTGAATATAAAGGGAATTTTGATTAACGACCTCTTACTTGCCCATTGACCAAACAGAATTTCATTCATGCTTTATTTTCTTGACACGCTGTTCAATTAGCAGTGGTTCACACTATAACTTCATGTTCCTTAACCTTCAGCTTTCCCTACCAGCCTCTGTCAGGTATATCATTCAACTGAAATGATTGATTTATGTTTGGGAAAATACTGAGGAGAACCTGACGGTGACTAGAGACATATGTCTCATCACCTGTAACCTTTGGAGAACAGAACCAGAAGAAGCAAACTCTCCTTTCTTCACCAAGGCCATCCCTCCACGAAAGTATACCGTAAGCTGTATGGAAAATGAAATAAAAACACTAGCACATTTGCTCAGATTTGGACATTTGAACATTACTCCAAGCCTGGAATAACTGTAATGGAATCAGAGGTTTAAATGATAGATTTGAAGGATTCTGAGTGAGGTCTCAGATAGACATCTTACCTAATTTGTGACCAAGCCAGTGGAACTAGAAACCTCTCTGCCACATCCCTGAGAAGTAGGCATTCCAAATCGGCTTGGCCCTTCTGGGAACAGGGAGCTTCTGTCTCAAGGCAGCCCCTGAAAATGTGGATTGTTTCTTTTAAAAAATTTGTTTAATGTTCATTTTTGCTCCTGAACTGTAAGATTATGACCTGAGCCGAAGTCAGACGCTTAACTGACTGAGACACCCGGGCACCCCATGGATTATTTCTAAATATCCAAAAGCAAGCCCTACATGACTCCAAATGGACTCTCCGCACTTCCAGGAAACAGGATAATTTGAACACATGCCTCTACTTTTATTCCCACCTAAACGAAACCCATCTGAACAACAGGGAGAGGATTTTTTTTTCCCTCTGAAGGCATAGAATGAAGGATTGGATGAATAGAAACAGTAGCAGCAAAACGTGGAATTTGGAAAACAGAAAAACACATGGTAAGTTACTTAGGAAACCCCCCAAAACTAAATCCTTAGGTCAGCTGTGGGAAAAGCAGAGAGCCAAAAAACCATTTCACAAGGCGGAACCCACTCCCCCATGGGCCCCCGAATTGGCAACACTTCCCCCTAGATCACTGATGCCATATTTTCTCCTTTTAGGCAGGAAATAACAATCAGATGTCATTATTATCTTTGGAGAAACAAGATGAAATTCATTAAATAAGAAGGAATCATTATAGAGGAAAACTGAAGGAATAAAAAGTTCTTGGAATTGAAAACTGTGCTCATTATTTTTTACCTCGATAGAATGGTTAGAAGATAATATTCTCCCAAAACATAGGACAAAAAGACAAAAAATGTGAAATAAAAGAGGAACGATAATAAAACCATAAGACCAATCCAGAAGTATAATATCCAAATATTGGGCCCAGAAAAAAAGGGAAAAGAAAGTGGAGAAAATAATCAAGCAAATAGTTTGAAAACACTTCCCAAAACATTAAGAGCAAAGAGAAGATTCTAGTGGTGTCCAGAGGAGGAAAAAGTCAGTTCGTTATGCATAGGATTGGTACTTACGGTGGATTTGGACTTTACCACAGCAGTACTGAAAGCCAGAAGGTAATGGAAAATCCATTCAAAAGTCTAAAGGAGGGACACCTGGCTGGGCCAGTCAGTAGAGCAAGGGACTCTTGATCTCAGGATTGTAAGTTCCAGCCGCATGTTGGATGTGGGGATTACTTAAAAATACAATCTTAAAAACCAAATCTGTTAGAACATTATCTCCAGTGTTGAAGTCTATACTGAGACAAACTATTACTGCAATGTAGGAGTAGAACAAAGTCATTTTCAAAGATGCAAAGTTTCAGAATGTACTTCCCATCTACGTATGCTTCTCAGAATAATGTGGAAGGATTTTCCTTTTTTTAAAATTTTTTTTTTAGTGTTTATTTCTGAGACAGAGACAGAGCATGAGTGGGGGAGGGGCAGAGAACGAGGGAGACACAGAATCAGAAGCAGGCTCCAGGCTCTGAGCTGTCAGCACAGAGCCCAATGCAGGGCTCGAACTCACAAACCGTGAGATCATGACCTGAGCCGAAGTCGGTCGCTCAACTGACTGAGCCACCCAGGCGCCCCAGGATTTTCTCTATAAAATGAGGGAGAAAACTGAAAAGTGGAAGAAACAGGATACAGCAAACAGGAGATAGGAAGAAGAAGATCCAATGCCATCCCCCCACCCCCCAGGAGGACAGTAAAAAGAGGGCCCAAGATGACAGCTGTGGACCAAGCTTCGGGCAGCCGGAGTGACTCAGAAGATGAAGCCAATGAAACGAAAGCTGAAGGTCTTGAGAAGAGACTGAGATGTTGGGTAAAGAATGCTAAGTAGTCAGACGTCCAAGCAAACGAAAGTAGAGAGTCAAGAGATAACACCCCAGCCCGGGAAACCAAGAAGCAAGGTAGGCATGTTATTTAGAGACCTCGAAGAGACACCAAAGTAATCATCTAACAAGGAGGGAATGTGGAGACCCTTGGGGCCGGAAATGGGGAAAGGCGTCGAGTTTCTCAAATTTGCACAACGATTTCACTCTTTAAGCAAGTGCGTATAGCTTAGATAAAAATAAAAAATGCTTTTTAAAGGAGAAGAGAAACAAAACATAAGTCCCCCCAAAATGCATGGCTCTTATCTTCTTTTCTCCCAGGTAAACATTTCTAGTTTTCTCAGCTGTCCTTCATATGACTTCGTTTCAAGATGTCTTGTCGTGAAGCCTCTCTTCTAGGCAATGTCTGGAGTACAGGGGACTGGACACCACAAGGCACCAGATGGCCCACCAGGGCTTTACCTGCTGGCATATTACCTCCCACATTCAAACCATGTATTTATTCCTCATTCTTTTCTTATAAATTGATGCTTTGAGCCTACATCCAGAGCTTTCCTTCTTGCTAAATTTCACGTTATTGATTTTTGGCATCCTTAATCTGTTTGGTTAAAATGACTTTAAATGCTGTCATTGACATCCAGTGGATCCACTCTTTCCCTCAGCTGTGTGCGGTCAATACATTTCACAGTGCTACACATAGTGTATTCATCCAGGTCCTAGAGGAGACTGCTGAACAGGGCACAGTGAGAACACAGTCCTGTGGCATGTCACTAAAACCTCCCCTCAGGGTGGGATTCACCTGGTACTATGCATTTTGCTTTGACTAGAGGCATTCACTCATTGCTCAAAAGCTACAATGCAAGGACACCTTTGGGAGAGGAGTGGAAACTAAACAGTGCTGGGAGTAACAGTTCCAGGAACTTTTGTTGCCCTAGAGTCACAGCAAGACGAGTCACAGTATTCTTCAGTTGCATCTGGGTGAAAAAGAATAAATCTGTTGGAGCTCTGCCCTATAATGGATAAGCACTCTTGTCCCCGCTTCTCGCCCCCCTCAACACACACAGTGAGACAATTTCTCAGTGTTATGTGCTGGGAACCAGAGTCCCAGGTGATATTGGCCTTCCACAGCCATTGAGGTGGGATGTCCAGAAGCCCTGCTCTTCTGAAATGTGGGAAGGGGCTCTCATGGGCCACCGTGGAGAGTCCCACACTCCTTCTTAAGGGGTCTTGAGTAGGGAGGGGGGAGACTTGAGGTTCCAGTTGCATTGACAGACTCCTCCAATCTATGCTTCCTTGGAGATTCGCAGTGGTGCTTAAATACTGTTAGTTAGGTTTTTTGTTGTTGTTGTTTTTGACAAGCTGAAAGATAAAGTTCAAGGTGAACAATTGGCTGCTGATACAAACATTCCTGAACTCAGCAAGCTAGCAGTGTGGAGAACAGTTCCTCAGATGTAATGAAACCAATTTCAGAATAGATGAGAAGCTGATACAAGAAAGACACCTTGTCTTTAAGTCTCTCCTCTAGAAACCTTCAAACAAGAAGAGATTTTGTCATAAATATCCCAGGAAATTTACCTACTTTATGCAGACATTAAAAAAAGATTATGGTGGACATTAAAAAAAAAAAGATTATGAACCTTGTCTGAATTAAAAAAATATATTGATGGATCATACAGAAACTATTACCAGAATGAAATGTAACTTACGATCAAGTCCTTATTCCTTATTTTAGAGACTTTCTCCCCATCAGTTAATTCAGCACAAGCGACTGAATCCATGTTTCCCAGCAGAATTTAAAGATTTTCTTTTAGAGTTTTATATCTTGAGATATGAATGCATGTTTCAAATGAGTTACCTTCAAGTACTGAGCACCATCACCATCTCCTGAAACTCACTACATCTCTAAACTTGGCCGGTCTTTCTCTTTCTGCCCCATTTCTGTCATGAAAATTCCTTCCAAGAAATTAAATGTATCCAGAGGAAAGTAACAGAGATGGTGAACGGTATTATGAAGGAGAGGTTAATGGAACAAGGTCAGCAAAATTTTTATTCAAGAGAAATTTAAGCAAGAGATTAATTGACAGAAAGAGCAAGTTGAGGGACTCTCAAAGTACCACAAAGGAAGGTGCAGACTGAGGAGATGTACTCGCTATTTGCTCTATTGTTGGAGAAGAGACGCTTTATAAAGTAACAATATCAGACGTTTTAAACTACTTCTTGAAAATTGCTTTTTAAAGAAAGATGTTCCATTTAACCAGTGAGATCAGATTCATTGGGGGTATTGTTATGGAAGCCACGTCGATTTAGACCATAAAATAAATCTTAAAAGGACAGTTCCACAGGTAAAATGGAGGTCGTCGGGTAGTCAGCATTGGTTTCTGAGGTGTCCTGATCTGAAAGCAGAAACAAGACAAATACTAGGCCTTGAGTTCTGAAGTTTGGGAATTGAGATCTTTTCAGTCTATAGCTTCCCCTCCTCTTTGGTTCAGGTGGGCAGGGGAGGAGGGGGCTTGGGTGGAAAATTTGAGAAAATTCAGCAGTAAAGAGTTTCATCAGGCAAAGGTGGCTGGAAAGCCAAGTCCAAGAGACGAGGTAACCTGACAGGAAATTCATTTGGAGAGAAAGTGAGTCTCCCCATAGACTCTCACTCACCCCTCTACGATGTGAGACAATACAGCAAGGGTTACAACCAAACCGAGAGGGAGTGCTGAGTGATTACCAGTTGAGAAGGTCGCTTATCAGTCTGATAGGACCACTGTTCACAGAAGCGTCTCAAGAAATAAATTTTGAGTGGATTGAAGCGTGAAAAATTAGTACTTCAGAGTAGTCAAAAGCAAATGAGCAATGTAAGTGAAAAAATATACATTGCCATGCCAGCAGTTGAGAAGTACAGAGTAAGGATCAGTTAGAAGACAAAAAGTAAAATCACGAGTTCAGAGTAAGAGAACTTGATGATGATATAAGTAACCAAATGAAACACAATGATTATGGGAAAAAATCCAACATCGGGACTGCTCGGGACTGCTTTTGAGGAAGCCAGCACATTTCTATGGTTGCTGGAGGTACGGAGAGAAATGGCCTACTCACAGGCTGCCGCGATACATCGACCACCATTCCAGGTTCTATCTAACTCAGGTTATTTTCAAGGTCATCTCAAAGGATCGCCTGCAGCTCGAAAACAATCCATAATCCTGTGACAAGTTGCGCTACCTGAGCATCAGTTGCAGACGATTGTGTACAGTTGGTCGGTCCACTAAGAATGCTTTAAGTTGCAATCCGGGCTCCTTGGGTTTGAGTCCCGGCTCTCCTAGTTACAGATTTTTGGCAGCTTATCTAATCCCGTGCCTCACATTCCTCATCTTTAAAAAGGGAATAATAACAGTGCCTGTCTTATAGGTTTATGCTGAGGAGTAAACGGGTTAATATATACACCGTGCTTGCAACAGTGCCTGACACATAGGAAAAAGCTAAACGTTTGTTATTTTTAAATGACAGAAAAATGACCAGCAAAGGATAGAAGAGTTTATCTTTCTTTCATTAACAAAAACGTCAGGATATAGGTGTTTGCTGTGCTGGTTTAGCTGATCAATGGCTTCATGAAGAGCCTTCAGCCTCTATTATGTCACTTCGCCATCTTTTAGCACATTGGCTTTTTGTCCTTCAGCCTATGGCCTCACGGTCCCACAGTGGCTGCCATAGCTTTAGACATCATTTCACATACTGACTGTGTTTAAAAATCAGAAATTATGCCAGCCAAGGAAGAGGAAAAGTGAGAAAGAAAAATGAGAGAGAGAGAGAGAGAGAGAGAGAGAGAGAGAGAGAGGGAGGGAGACTGCTTCACACTATTTTCACATTTTTGGAAGAAGCAAAATATTTTCCCAGAGCCCTTCGCTGATTTTACCTTATCCAATCGGCCAGAAATGAGTCACATGACTGCTCTGAAATCAAGGGATCTGTGCCTTGCTTTTGTTGGCAGGGAACAAGTAGGGGAGTACCTGTTGGACAGACACGGGTCCTCCACAAGGAATCATTCTTTTGTTCCGTTCCTAGCGCTTTGTACCTGTTTCAGCCATGGAAGGACAATCTATCTCCCAGAGCATTCATGTGAATTACTCAATAATTAAAGAGGGTTTATAACATGGTCACTGATGCCATCTCCAAGTTCTTCCCATTTGACTTCATACACGATGCCTATAAACAAGGCCCGCTTCTTTGTAAGACTGACTTCAAAAACCCACTATCTTCTTCTGAAAGGCTGCTCAAACCCCAGCTGGGACACACAGGGATACTCAATACTGGTTGAGTCCTTGTTCTCTACTGGGCTTCCTGGGGCTCTAAAAGCCTTCTGGTTGTACACATCTGAGTAAGAAAATAAAGGCAGGACATGTCAAGCCTATCCTGGAGTCCAGGAAAGGGAGTGACCAGATAGTCTAGCTTAATCAGAGAGGGTCCCGTGGAGGATTTAGTGAGGTCTCAGAGGATGGGAGGGGATTCCTGGCCGGAAGAATAATCTGAGAAAAGGTTCCTGGTTGGAATGAGCAGGATGTGGGAGGGACATTCGTTCTTATCCCTTTGAGATTTTTATAGCTTTTTCCTTAGAACTTGGAAGAAACTGCCCAAAATTGAAAACATGCCAAACATTAGCATTAAAAATGCTGTGGCCTCTCCAAATGTGAACTATATCTGCTGGAAAGTGCATGGAGACTGGATTACTCAGGTAAAACTAAGAAGGAAGGAAGGAAGGAAGGAAGGAAGGAAGGGAGGGAGGGAAAGAAAGAAAGAAAGAAAGAAAGAAAGAAAGAAAGAGAAGAAGGAAGGAAGGAGGAAGGGAGGGAGGGAGAGAAAAGTAAGGGAAAAGAAAAGAAAGAAATGTTTAAGTAAAAGTAAATAGGAATTTGACAACCTGACGTCTCTCTCCAGATGTATCAGCCAATCAAATATATATATATATATATTCTTTAATGAGTGACCACTGTTCCCAAGATAACTTTATTAGCCTAGTTGAAAACAAATAAAAATGCTGCATGAAATACCAAGAATGGTACAAAGAATGATAAACATCTGGTTTCTAGAAGCTAGAGAAATTGATTGATCTGAACTTCCTGGTATACTTGTGTTGGGGGTTCCCATCTGACTGTCCTTTGGGTCTAAAGACAGTTGGTGTGTTTTCCTTCCTTTTGTAGGAATGAGAGCCAACTCAAATGACCCGAGTGTCTTAGGACCAATAATATGACTTTGAACATGAGAGTCCTTTCCCTGACATTTTTACTGGCTCTGAGAAGCTAAATTAGTATTTCTTTTTTTTTTTTTTCAATGTTTATTTATTTTTGGGACAGAGAGAGACAGAGCATGAACAGGGGAGGGGCAGAAAGAGAGGGAGACACAGAATCGGAAACAGGCTCCAGGCTCTGAGCCATCAGCTCAGAGCCCGACGCGGGGCTCGAACTCACGGACGGCGAGATGGTGACCTGGCTGAAGTCGGAAGCTTAACCGACTGCGCCACCCAGGCGCCCCGCTAAATTAGTATTTCTTAAGCGCATAAACAAATAAGACATTGTTCTTTATGTTGAGGCAGATCAGAAACCAAATGCGGATTGGACACACTGTCCTCCTGAGTAGAGAGAGAGAGCAGGGGTTTTTCAGAGAACTGTTAGGGGAGCATAGACTCCTGGAAACATCTCTTGTGTCCTCCTAACACATCAGGCTTACAATAGGTGGGGAAGATTCTTAATAAAGAAGACCTATGCAAGACAAGAAAGTCGGGAAATATTATTGGGCGAAAGGAAATAATAGGAAAACAGCGAAACTTATTTGCTAAGTAAAAAAGGAAAATTCAACGGGAAGGAAAATTGGACCAGGAAAATCGCATTTGTCTAAAAGATTAAGACCAACAAAATTTCAAACACAAAGAGAAGCAAACAAAATACCAATTCTGGAGAAGAAAGATAAGGTGAATTAAGTAAGAATACAAAAAGAAAACAATCCAACTTAACAAGCACAGGCAAATTTACCATATGTAATACCGGTATGTTTCTCGAAGGTGATTGGGACAAGATCCTTCTTTTCTTCAACTTTTACATTTTAGCGTGCATTGTAATTACACTTAACTTTTTACATTTTAAATTTTTTTTTTTCAACGTTTATTTACTTTTGGGACAGACAGAGACAGAGCATGAACGGGGGAGGGGCAGAGAGAGAGGGAGACACAGAATCGGAAACAGGCTCCAGGCTCTGAGCCATCAGCCCAGAGCCCGACGCGGGGCTCGAACTCACGGACCGCGAGATCGTGACCTGGCTGAAGTCGGACGCTTAACCGACTGCGCCACCCAGGCGCCCCAACTTTTTACATTTTAAACGTACAGTTAATGATTGTTAAGTTTACTGAATTGTGCAGCTATCACCATAATGCAGTTTAAGAGCATTTCCATCACCCCAATAAGATCTCTGTGCCAGGCAACCGCTAATCTACTTCCTGTCTCTGTTGATTTGCCTTTTCTGGCCATGCCATGTAAATGAAATCATACACTGTGGGGCCTGTTGTGCCCGGCTTCTGCCACTTTGCAAAGCGGAGCCGTGCTTGGAGGGTGGACGTTTTGTCCCACTGAATGATCAGCCCCTATTGCCTTGGAAGGCAGTAGGAACCAAAACCAACAACATCCAGAACTAGTCCCATCCAAGAGATGACCACACGTGGAGGGGGTGGGGCGGAGTGGGGAGAAAACAAAGCCGGGCATTGGCCTTGGCATTGGCCTTGGCAGCATAGAAAGGGAGCTAACAGAGAGGAGCCTTATGAGAGGAGAATCCCCAGGGGTCTGCTCTCCTCTTCTCCTTCCACCACCTCGGGGGGTGTGTTCGTGATCTCTCCACTGAGACTTCTGCCTTGTAGGCCATCCCCGGGGAGCCCTTTCTAATAGAGAAAAGACAGAGACAATTCGAAGCTCTGTTAGATTGTTCAGGGCACCGAGTCCTGTCGTGCTGGGTCAGGTCCCAAGTTCCAGAAACCCTCTCTTCCCCCAGACTTCCCCTTCCTCTTCCTGTGTCTTTGGCTCTATGGTTTCTGCCCTCCATGGGGGTTAGAACCAGGGGTTGTCTTCAGCGCATGCCCCCTCTGAGCCTAGCATAGTGCCTGCAAGGTCTCAAAGAGACACCTGTCATCCCTTGTAGCTAATGCTGCTCTTTCAACACTACTACGGGTTTATCCATTTTACATGCTTATCTTCTTAGTAAGGACTTCCTCCAGGAAGGAAATGTCCCAAGAGCAGAGAAACTCCTCGGATCCCACTGACTCCTGTTCCTTGCACCTGAGATGAGCCCTGGCACCTGCCTGAAAGGCACGCTTCCCTGATCCTGGCACGTGTGCTTCAGAGGCTGGCTCTCAATTGTCAAAGACAGGGGAAGAGAGTCTTTTACCCTTCCCAGTATGACGCTCAGCATAGCTTCCAATTTAAATATGATTTATGGCGAAGGATAAGCTGTTTTCTCCGTGAAACCCCTGCGGCTATGCAGGCAGCATTCGATTTTCTCAGAAATATCCAAACTAGGTGGTAGAAACTTCGGCACGGTCTGTCAGACAGGATACCCAGGAATTGTGGTTCTGGCTTTCGCCTTGAGCCAGCGTCAAGGAGAGAGAACCCCCACGCGCTCCACACTCCGCCAGGCCACCCACACACATCTGCCCACTCCAAAAGTACAGTTTTAAAAAATGTGCCCATCCTCTGAACAAGAGGTTCCTTTCTCCTTCTCGAAATGGGGGTCAAAAGGATGATTTAGATGTTGTTACAAACTCTTCCTTGACCTGGCATGTGATCTTCACGTTAATTAGCATCTTCTCTCTCTCTCTCTCTCTTTTTTGTCATTTCCAGCTGAACTATTACGATCCTATCAAAGCCATCATTTCAAGCCCCAACCACGAGCCTACAGCTCTAGTAATAGGTACTGCTTACATTCCCCTTACGTTTGTAATGTTCTCTGTGTGCCAGATCCTTGGATGTCTCCCACCTTTATAATTTCTGCGTTGCAACAGGCATCCCACACTCTGCAGCTCAGAATGTGACATCCTCCACTCTTCTGTCCGCCTTTAGCTTTAGAAGCCTCACACTAGGCTGCTGGAGAGACAGAGGGAGGGCTTCACAGGGCGTCACACATGCTGAGAGCTCGATCAATATTTGCTGATTTGAAATAAGAGCAAAATCCACTTTAAGCAACCTCAGGCCACACCCTATGAGCGCCCCTAATGTGCTACATGCTATTGAATATGCAGTAATACCAACATCGGACAGTGGTCTTGGGGCGTTGGTGTGAAATGGGATGGGGTCGTTTCTGTGAATTCAAAAGGCGTGCTGAAAATAACAGTTTTAAGTGATGGCAACAGGAAGAACCAGAGCCTGAAGACCTTTGCAGTTTTCTGGAAGCTGGACTCTGACCAAGTGAACTCAGAGGAAGGTCAAGGGAGAACCAAGAGCCCAACCCATCCCTTACTCTCACATCCCCAGATGCACACCTGGTATGGTCATGGGCTTGGCCAGGCTGATCTTGGGTCCATGAAGTAGGGAAGGTGGCAGAGCCCGTCTGTGCTATTCATGTGGAATCATTTTGTCGGGACCAGATGGAGGATATACATCCTGGTACGGCGGGAAGCACTGGTCTAGATTAGAACCAGGAATCCACTCCCTTTATAAGGGATCGTGCCCCGGCTATGAGCTCATGGTCTGCACTAGATGCAATCTCTGGCCCTGAACACTAAGTATCCGATACTATACTAAGCTCCTTCCGCGTATTATTTCATTTAATCTCTGTAACAACCTTGTGGTTTAGGTCCCACTACTAGTCCCACCTTATAGATGAATAAAGCGAAGCACAGAAGAATTCATTAACTTGTCCTGGGGTCTCGTTCGGGGTTTTTTGTTGTTGTTGTTGTTTTCTGTATCGAAAGAAGTGTCATCCAAATGAAGAAGCAAAAGGAGAATTTTGTGGATGGCTCATATGACGTGAGAAGGGCAGACGCGTAACCCAGCGTGGGGAAGTCCTGGAAGCAGGGTCTCAGCTGCTTCTCCGACTCTGTTTCTCTCTCTCCTCCGCACATCAGTTCCCTCAGATGGTGACGGGCCCGCCTCTCATGCTGCTTGGTCACCGATAAAGACTAGCTGCCACTCTTGGTCCCCAGTACAGCCACCTCTGGGAAGGTTCTCGTTGCACCAGTCTGGCCCATCTTTGGGACAACTGCAAGCCAACTGACCTGGGAAAGGCAGGGAAAGTAAGAGGCTGACCGTGCCCATGCAACTACATGATGTAGGAGGAGGCATGCTTTCCAGAAGTGGGGATGGGAAGAGGAGGTTTACCCATTACAAAAAAGTGAAGAATGGTGCCTGCACTCAGCCCCACAACTCAGAAATGGAAGAACGAGGACTTGAATCTAGGTCATCTGTGCTAGTCATCTTGGGACCCACCGCGATGGCCTCCCCGGGGTGTGGGCTAGAATTGAAGAGTCCTGGGCCTCCCTCGGAACAATGGGACCCGAGTCTGTGCTTGAAAAAGAACCGAGGGTGACTTGTATACATGTCAAGTCTGAGAAGCACCCTTTAAACACAACAACACAAATTTTTCTATGTTTCTAATTATACTAATATTTTTATATATTTTTTCTAATAAATTGCCCTTTGAAGGCCAGTCTCAGTTCCTCACATTTACTTTGTTAAACTTCTTGCTCATTTTGTGAAGCCCTTGGGAGTATGTGGGAAAGCCCCATCCAATTCAAAATCACTATCAACATACTTAATGTTCAAGTTGATACTGATGATGATTCCTTACATGTATTTGGCGCTTGCTAATTGATAAAGAACTCTCATATCATTAGTGATTCTCAGTCTTGGCTGCCTATTGGAATCATCTGGAGACTTTATAGAAACTGGTTGCCTGGGTCTTACCCTCAGATAATTCTGACCTAATCGGCCTGGGATAAAGACTGGGCATCGGGACCTTTAAAAGCTCCCCCAGTGATTCTAATGTGGCCAAGATTGAAAACCACTGTTGAAGGCAGTGTGACCCAGGCATCTGTATTTTGTGGACACTTCACAGTGGCTTTAATTTGCAGCCAAGTTCAAGAATCACTCACATGCACTATATTTATTATTTGATATTCATGGTAGCCAGGTGAGGTATGAGTTGTGTGCACCCCATTTTACCAGTAGGCTAAAATTTGCCCATTGGGCACTTAGCTAGAAGAAGTGGAATTGGGACCCAAGTCCAGTTTTTCTGACCCCAAGGCCAGGAGTCCACCTGCCATCCCCTAGGGCTGGGCTGGGAAAGCCTATCCCTCTGATCCTGGGACTTGTTTTAGGACAACCTGGGTTCAAAAGGAAGATTCTGACCCTGGAGCAGAATACATCTCTGACCACAGAGAAAAGAAATGTTATCATTCACCCTAGGATAGTAAGAAAGTTGTAGCCAATAAAAGCCGCCTTCCGCCATCTTTGTGCTGTCTGGGTGGGCTGCTTAGCAGCAGCAGCATCCCGAGAGAGGAATCTTTGGAAGAGCCCATCACAGACACTCATGTCTGCGGCCCAGCCAGGCTCACCAGCAGAGAGAGAAGGGGGAGGCTGGGAGGCAGGAGTTGAGTGCTCATCACCAAGAGGATAGTCATGACTTGGGGTCTCTTCCTACCCAAGTTCTTTTCCAGGTATTTCACTTGCTGGAATTATCTTCACCTTTTCCTCTTGGCCTTTCTAACTGGCCCTTACCTTCCCTTTCTCTCCCTGCACCCGTCGATTTTAAGGGCCTGGTTGGAACTCACCAGTCAGTGCATTTGTAATGCATAAAATATTTAACACCTTTTTAAATGACTCAGAAGTCAACCGTCCACCCGCGTAATGACGACAGCCATTTCTCTCATGATGCCTTTCAGCCTAGCTCTGCCTGAGCATTTCTTAGCTTTGGAAAGGCTGAAATCCTAGGAGTATTTGTCCTCCTTTCCTTTAGAATCTTGTTCTAGTTGCCCCTGAACATCATGGAAAATCAGTAATGAGTCATGCCTGAGAGCTCAGCCTCCTATGAAATACCACCTTGCTTCCCCGAGGCCTCTTCCACCCCTGATTCACAGCCTTCGAGCTCACGTTGTCTTTCAAGGAAATCTTCCTTTATACATTTCTGATTCACCGACATTTAAATCACCAAAGCATTAGAAAGAGATGTGCAATGGTTAAGAAGTTTCTTGGGAATTTTCATTAGACGTTCTTCGAACTGGGAAATTGTGGCTTTCTGGAACTGTAATGGAGAGGAATACTAAGAAACTAACACTCAGCCTTCAGAAACTGAAGCAGCTCAAAATTGAGTGTTTGTGCAGAACAGAAGCAAAGAATCCGTCATGAGGATCTCTGAGTTCTAGCCCCCGGCTCTGCAACTCACAGAACTGTGACCTCAGGCTTCAGTTTCCTTTCTAGTTCAACAAAAATGCTGGATGTGAGTTCTAAAGATTCATCCAGCTCACACTCCCAGATCCCTAATTTTGCCATGAGTTTCCTGTGCATCCCTTCTTTCTTCTCACGTTCCAGAAAGCAGGGGCCACTAAAGCTCCTTACACCCTGAACTGCCAAGTGTCTTTAGAGATCTGGACAAGTCTGTGACCGAAAGAGTCGGCGCCCTCCTCACCCCGGTTACCATCTGTGTTTTTTGCTCTGGCGTGGTGCTAAGAGGAGAATAGTGGGGCTTAGGGAGCCTCTGCTCCGAGACTCCTAGGAAGAGCTCTTTCCCATGCCTCATTTCCCAGTCTGTCTCAAGCTCCCAGCAAGCTGGCCTTTGTCCCTGCCACACTTCCAAACTCTCTCTTGTCAGGGCCACCAGGGCCCCTCGTGCTGCTAAAGGCAGGGTGGATGCTCCTCCCACTGGCCTCTCAGCACCCAAAGCAACAGGTGGCTCCCACTCCCTTCCTGCACTTCTCTCACTGGGCTCCAGGCCCCCAGCCCCTCTTCTCTCCTTCCCTGGGCTGGAGCCCAGGATTCCGTCCTTGCTCTTCCTCTCTTCGATCTCCTTCAGCCCCTCAGCGATGCCCTCCGGCGCCATTGCTGTCAGATCCCAAATTTATGTCTCTAACCCAGCTCTGCCCCCCAAACTTCAGTCTGGCATTTCCAGTTGCCATGGGTCTCTCTGTACAGGACCTTTCCCTTCGGAAGTCTCACAGACATAAAAATTAAATCCAAACCCAGATCCACATCTTCCCCTCACTCCATCTTCCCCGGCTCAGTTGGTTCTAAGTCCATCCTTCCAGTTGCTCCAGTCAAAACCTAGTGGTCACCCTTGACCCTCTCTGCCACCCACAGCCAGCCCATTGGCTTTATCTTCATACTGCGCCCAGGATCTGGCCACTTTGCCCCAATCCCTCTCCTACTATCCAGTGAGAGTCACTCTCTCCTCTCGCCTGGATTACGACAAGAGCCTTGCAACTCTCCCTGCTTCCACCCCACCCCTATGGTCTCTTTTCCACAAAGCAGCCAGAGAGAGCCTGGAAAACTAGATGTCAGATCCACCCAAATCTTCCGTCAGGCCCCCCATCTCCTTCACAGTCAAAGCCAAAATCCTCCAGGGCCTTGTGTGTCAACCCAGCCCTTACATCTCTGGCCTGGTTTCCCACTTCTCTCCCTCACCCACTCCCTCCCAGTCATACCAATCTCCTGGGATATATTTAAGATCTCTTCACCAGATCCTCCCTCTGCCTGGAAAGTTCTCCCTGCAAATGTCTACATTGCTCATTCCCTCGCCTCCTTGAAGTCTTTGCTCAGATGTCACCTCTTGGGGAGGTCCTCCTTGCCCACTTTATTATACACATTCTGAAACAGCCCAGCTCCTGCTCCTGGCATTTCCAATCGTCCTTACTTTGCTCTACCCTTCGCTAATTCTATATATCCCATCTCCTTCCTTTAGACTATATAATTTATCTCTTGTTTGTTGTTTATGGTCTGCCGTCCCCCATCAGAAGGTAAGCCCCACAAAGGTAGAGGTTTCTATCTGTGTTGCTCATTGTTATGTCCCAAGTGCTAGGACTAGTGCCTGGTACATAATAGGTGCTCAGTAAATATTTATTGAATGAACTTACTTGTGGTCAGAATTCAAACCACACACCTCTCTCTCCCCACGCGGTGCTCTGAAGCTTTGCCCTCCAGGAAAAGTAGAATTCTGTGGTGACAGGTTCCTCGCATGTTTTCTCTTTCCATCTACCCATCCAACATGTCCCCCCAACATGTTCCCACAGTGTCCTACAGTCACATCACTGCTTCAATCAGGTATCCATATGTTCGCACACACGCACACTCCTCCAAAAGGTGCTACAGCACCAGCTCCCCATCCCTAAATGGGGGTTACAGAGAGGGCTCTGTAGTACAGGAAGTGCTTTCAAGTGCATTCATTTACTTAAGGTGATGGAAGACAGAAATCCTTGACTTCGTTTTGGTTATTTAAAATTTTTTTTAATATTTATTTATTTTTGAGAGAGAGAGACAGAGTGCGAGCAGAGGAGGGGAAGACAGAGAGGGAGACACAGAATCCGACGCAGGTTCCAGGCTCTGAGCTGTCAGCACAGAGCTTGAAGTGGGGCTTGAACTCATGAACCATGAGATCATGACCTGAGTTGAAGCTGGATGCTTAACCGACTGAACCACCCATGCGCCCCTCATTGTGGTCACTAATAAACATGAAAGGGAGTTACATCTTGGTCAGCTATGGAGAAACAAAGGCTGGACCTTGAATGTCTTCCCTCCTGCAGACCTGGGCAGGGATCCACTTGTCACAGCAGTTCTGTGGGTTCCTACCATACTGAGGAAACTGATGGAAGGGAGGAATAAGATAAAAGGAAAGATGTGCAGGAGAGGCTCCAAGACCCATATCGAAAGAGGAAGAGTCAAAGTCTGAGCTTTGGGGGAACACACACACCTTGCTGTCAACCCCAGAGGATGCTGGGAGCCCATAACTGTAGACCTGGCTTCTGGGTCAGCGCTGGTGCTAGAAGCATAGAATCTACCCTCCTGTAGGATTCCAGCACCTGAAGATTTATTTGCTAGTTAGTGTGCTAGGGATCTGAACCTGCCTTGAATCTGCTCTAGGTTTCCATGGTGATTGCTTTAAACTTTTCACCATCCTTCCTTCAGACCTTGGGGGAGAGCTATGCTCTCTGGTTTCCATGACGACCATTTAAACATGTATCTCTGTCTGGCTGTGTTGGAAAAGAACTGCTAGAGATCATGCAAATGAACTGGCTGCTCTCCCTCTACTTAAAAAAAAAAAATGACACACCTGCTTAGAAGTTTCAGATCTTTGCTCATAACAAGACGGGTGAAGGTGTCAAACTGGTGTTTGAGGGGGGTTTGCTGCGTGGCTTTGATACTTCAGGTGCTCATCCAGATATGCACCTCCGCTCTCCCGTCTTAAGTAATTATCTGCACTCAGCACTCACCCTCCCCTCCCCTCTGTCTAGCAGATGAAAGAGCCCTGGGTTCAAGACTGTTTACCTTCCTGCTGCCTACCAAAGGAGGAAGGGAAGGACAGGGCCAGAGAGACTAGCAAGGTACCCTACCCAAGCCAGCTCTTTTTGCCAGTGCTGGGAGAAACCACGGGCAGCAAGGTTGTGACCTCAACTCACCATCAGTAAACTGTCCCGGCGCCCAGACCGCAGCCCCAAAGAA